GAACCCCATGACGGTCCGGTGTGACAGCACGGCAGCACTTCACATTGCTGCTAATCCGGTTTTCCACGAACGCACGAAGCACATTGAGATTGATTGTCACTTCGTTCGTGATGAGCTCTTGCGAGGAGAGATTCGTACACTTCATGTGCCTACTACGCATCAGCTTGCAGACATTCATACAAAGGCACTCGGAAAGTCATGTTTGGAGTTTCTTCTTCCCAAGTTGGGCATTTCGTTACTACATGCTCCAACTTGAGGGGGGGTGTTAAAGGAAAGAAAATATTTGGTAGAACATTTGGAGATATTTGTGTATATATTATTTTTGGTAGCTTCCTTGTATAGGGTTGATTTCGTTTCCTTTTGTGATTAGGTTTCTCAATCTGTGAGAGCCTATATATACATGTCTACTTTGTAAATTGAACACGAGAAATCCAGAGAGAATTTCCTCCCAATTATTTTTTCATAATTCTTTCAGTTAGCCATAGCGCATGCGCGAAATGAGAGACTATATAACCTTTCGTAGCCTACAATCATAAGTTTGAGCTTTTGGTTGAACTGGTTTCTTGACATGGTATGTCGAGTAAGAGGTCACATGTTCGAACCTCACCGGCACCCAGTTTTTAAAAAACTAAGGTTTTCGTGCAAGCCTACAGGGTCGTGCTAGAGTATATAAAAACCTTTTTTGGTCATGGATTTTCTAGTTCAATCTAACATGTTATTAATCTGCATTATAATCATATCTGTTTTGAATGATGATGGTGATGATAGTGGCAACGGGGCAGCGTTTCTTCCCGAACTGCTCGAAAGTCTTGGACCGGTTGCTGGAGGACGAAGTGCTAGAGTGTTTGATGCTAGAAAGCGGGACGGCGGAGGAGCAGAGGTTCAAGAAGGCCAGATACATTGAACTCAAGGAAGAAGTTCACAATGCCTTTGTCAAAGACAAAGCTGAGCACAAATGGTCACTGTCACATCACACTTCTTCTTCCTTTTCAACTTCATCCAAGTCCCAAAAGGTCAGAAAAAGACTTGGGCCACTTGTAAAGCACTAGACTAATGAAATTTACTTCCTCTGTCTCAGGATATTCGTCTATATTTTTGACATTATATATTGACATTATTTGTCACATAAAACAAATTAAAGAACAAATTAAAGTCTTATTTTCCTATTGTATATATAGGGCATGTTTTAGCCCACAATGAATACAATTTAGTTTGCACAAATTTGTAGGAGATGCCATTTTTAATGAACAAATTGTGAGAGGGAGGATACCAAATCTTTAACCACAAAGGGAGCTGTAGTGTCCACAACCATGGACACAACATCATCATCCCCGACATCATAGTCCCAGCAGCCGCTGTACCTCTCCATGAGACACTCTATATCTTGCCACGTGGACGGCTTGTGCCAGCTTGACCCAGCCCGAGCCTCGACCCGTCGGCGCCACTCGGCCTCGTCCTTCGGCCTGCACTCGACCACGGCCACCCGGGCGCCGAAACGGGTTTCGAGCCCGAGTAGGCGGTCGAGGCGGGCCCGGTTGGAGAGAGGGGAGTCGAGTATGACACCGAGGCCCAGGTCGAGCTGGGCCTCGGCGGCGGTCCACATGGCCTCGTAGGACAGCTCATTCAAAAGGTCGGCGGCGGCGGCCGGGGTGGAGTTGTTGGGGGAGAAGCAACAAGTAGGATGCACCACCTACAAGGATCAACTTCAAGACAACCAACCAAACACTTAACCCAATTCACCACTATTGATTAACCAAGCACATAAAATCAGCAACACATCAAATAAACCACAACCAAATATGAAGAACAAAGATGCAAACGACACACGATTTTTATACCTGGAAAACCCCTTCGA